ATACTGTATTAGTAATCAAAAACTTTTTAAATAAAAATTTGCACTGTTAAATTAGAATTAATATTTTGATATTATATTATAATTATAAGATGTTTCTTATACTAAAATTTTATAAAAAAAAATTTTATTAGTGTATAAAAGACAGTTTTATATATTAAATTTAGAGTTATTGGCAATTTTTAATTTTTGCATTTTTTTTTGTATTTCTTTTATATTACATCTGATCATAAAATTAGATTGGCTCTAATAAATAAATAATTAGTATAGCTAATCTGAAGTGGTGAGAAAAATTAGAGCACTCTAATTTTGTACTATTGTATAAATTCAAATTAAAAATAATTATATACATTTGTATGTATATCATTTTCTTATTCTACAAAATAGCCAGAGTGGCTCTTCAAAGTACTGTCACATGATAAATCTTTGCTAACTATATATAAGTAATTTATAATTGTTAGAATATATAAGCAATTTACGATTGTTGAAATTTAGAAATATATAGCTATAGCTGCGAAGTTCATTATGTGACAGTATTTTGGAGAGACCGTACTAGCTATTTTCTTATACTATATAAGTTTATTTTTTGTATAAATTAAAATATTTAGTTAAATAAAATATAAATATAGTGTCTTTTTTTTGTTAATTAAAAATAGAATCATTAACTAGCTTTTTATCTAAAATAATTTTTTTTGAAAACAACTTTACAGATAAGATTTTATAATTTTTCGCATATATGATATATCACCACCTATAGGATCTGTGTAATGTAAAATCAAAACAACTTAAAATAATCTAATTTTTTATTAGTTAGGGTTAGGTGAGATGAAGGTAGTGTGAAGATGATAAGAGTAGATTTAATAGTAAAATTACGCAAGAAATTTTTTTTGCTAGAGAACAAAAAATGGTTTTATAGCAAAATTTTTGGGTTACAGGTGATTTTTTAAAAAAGACAATATTTTGTTTCGATTTCATATTACACCTGATCTTGCATTCTAATTGGTCAATCAGGGTAGTGATACATCTCTATAGTGATAAATTATAATATCCTTACAGATATAGATTTACAATCAGATTTATGTATAATTTGTCAAAAAAATATTTGTTCAAGTCTTATAAAATCTATTACTATATTATTATGTAAACACTTTTTTTATAGAGAGTGTATTGCAGAATATGATTTTGATACTTGCCTATCTTGTCAAGCAGAAAGCTAGCAAGATCTGTTTAGTTCTGAACAAATTTACTCAAACTTTATTCAATATATGAAACACTAATAATTGGTTGTGCTTATAGTGTTATTAGGCAAAACCTAGAGGTTTCAGCACAGGCAAAACTCAAAACTAGTTTTGACCTTTGCTAAAATAGCAAAATAGCGAAACTGGCAAAACTGCTAAAACTAGAAAAGGCAATAAATTAGTAAAGAATGAGAAAATTAATAAAAGAAGCAAAAATAAAAAGTAATCACATATGTATATATAGAGCTGATAAAAGTTTGATCCTATCCATCTGAACTTTTCAAATCAGGACTTTGATTAAGATTTGATTCTTGAGTCAATTCTAATTATGTATAAATCAACTTAAATTAGCCAATCAAAATAAACAATTCTCAAAACAAAAGATATGCAGTCAGACTTTGTCTGACAATATAAATTAGCCAACAAAATAACCAATTTCCAGGACAAAAGATATACAAAACCTATATTCTAAAAGTTTCTGTGTAATCAACTTTTACGAGCTTTTTATAGCCCTATATATGTATAATAAATCTAGTTTTCTTTTAATTATATTCAAATATAAACAAAAGTATATTGCTTTGTTTATTGCTTTTGTATATTTTTATGTAAGTCATATACTGTACTTAATAGTCACACAAAATATTTAATTTACTAACATGGCTCAATCTTTTCAAAGTCTTAGAGAATTTGATCTTTGCTATGTTTAACTTTTTCTAGGATTTTAGCTTTACCAGGGGTTTCACTAGAATTTCAACATTTTGCCAGAGTTTCACTAGTTTCGACTTTTGCTAAGTTTAGTTTTGACTTTTACTGAGTTTACTTTCGACTTTTGCTGATTTAGTTTCGACTTTTGCTAAGTTTAGTTTTGACTTTTGCTATTTACCAAAAACAGTTTCGCCTAACAACAGTATCTACAGTATTAATAATTTATCTGTACTATTAATTACAGTAACTGTTTCGTCTATTACTACTATCAAGATATCTAATACTATGCATAATACTATATCTAATACTATATTTAATACTACAACTTATATATCAGCCACTAGGACTACTACTGCTATATCGGCTACTACAACTATCAAGACCACAATTACCAAGCCTACAACTATCATGCCTACAACTACTGAACCTACAACTACTGAATTTACAACTACTGTATCTACAACTACTGAGCCTACAACTACTATACCTGTTACTTCAAAAATACAAAAAAATTAGAAACAGTTGTTGAAATTATAAAAAAACTCAGAAATAAAATTGGTATTATGATAGATTTGTATAATAGTGAAGATGAAGACCCAAATCATAGGTAGGATTGTATTTTAATTACTATTATAACTCTATATAATTTAAGTAGCTATTTTTTACTTATACTCAAAATTTTGCATATTACAGATAACTTTCTATTTATAAGCTTTTTGTTATACATTTTGGCACAGAAAATTAATTTCTGTACCAAAGCATATGGGTCTTTGCCTTGAAAATCACCTTCTGATATTTTCGATCAGGTTAATTCCAACAAAAATAAACCCAAGTATTGGTTCATATTCATATATTAATCATCTTTTAACTTTATTGATTCTATAGTTTATCAAATAACTATTGAATTAATAAAAGTAAAAGATGATTAATATATAAACATGCTGGTACTCAGATTTAATTTTGTTCGAATTAACCTGATCGGAAATATTGAAAGGTAATTTTCAAGGCAAGACTCTAATAACAAAAGATTATCTATAGTGTGCAAAATTTTGAAAATAAATAAAAGATGGGATTTCAAATAACTTTGCTTAGTAAAGTTGAATTAAATTAGTAAAAAATTTTGTTTTAAGTATAAAACAACTTTTAACTAAAGTTTATATGAAAGAAATTATTAAAAAAAGATCATTGATTTACATACTGTATGTTTATTATTTTACCTGCACATCTAGCTTTTCTGCAAAAAATATCTCCTAGTGTTACTATAAAAAAGTTAATATAATTGTATTTGTAACCCCTGTATAGAGTTTAGACACTTTTGCAGCATATTCAAAAAGCTTTTTTGTTATGTTTCTAGTTAAGGTTTGTGTTTATAGGCCTTGAAAAATCATTTTATAAGTAAAATTACATTTTTAGTGATGCTCAAAAGCCAATTTAAACACTAGTTTTTGAGTATTTTCACTTTTTTCACTTTTTTTCTTGTGCATATATTTTGTTTTGACGTTGGGCTAATCTGAAGCAATCAAAATTTATGTATCCTAATTGATCATTTTCTATGCACCACATCATGTTACTACAAATATCTAGACTCCTAGTAGGGTAGAGTTACCTGAATCTTGCCTTCAAAAAAGTACAGGCATGTGATATTTTGTGGTGCAACCAATCATACTTCAAGAAGAAAAATTCAAAAAAAATGTTTGTAACTCAAAACTTGGTGATTTTAATATTTATCTTGCTAACATCTCAATACCAATACTAACTCTAACTTAAATAAGCTTGAGATTTTTTTAGAATATTGCAAATATAGTTACATATCTACTTTTTTTGAAGGCAATACTGATGAAGATTATAACATATAACTCCACTAGAAGTCTAGACACTTTTGCAGTAATGTGATGTGGTGCATAAAAAATGGCCAATCAGGATGCACAAATTTTGATCATCCTAGATCAACCCAATGTCAAAACAAAATATGTATGCAAGAAGAAAAAAGAAAAAATGAAAATACTTAAAAACTAGTATTTAAAATAGTTTTTGGTCTAACAAGAAATGTCAAAAGTATAATTTTATATATAAAAATAATCTTTTAAGGCCTATAACTACGACCTTATCTAGCAATATAATATAAAGCCAAAAAAATTTATTCAAACTTTACAGAATTTTTCAATTTTGTAAAATATTTTTAATATATTATTATAATATATTAGTTATATATTAAAAATAGATTTTTGTTAAATTTAGCAGGTTGTGATATTGCAAGTTAATATACATTTAAAAGTTATTATTAGTTAGAGTTAGGGTTCGAACTAGTATTAGGATTAGAGTTAGAAGGCATGTATATATGTAAAATTAAGTGTTGAAAACTTTTAATTAGAAGCCCAAGACTAGTTTATATATAAAATTTCGAGATATTTAAATTTTTAATTTTTTTTTAATTTTTGTTCATTTTTGTTACACAAGATCCTGTGATCTGATTGGTCAATCATATTAACCTGTAATATAACAACTTGCGATATTTAACAATATTCTAAAAATATTATCTTATTTTTTACTAATTTAAATATTATTATTATATTATTTAGATAATTTAAAATGTTTATGTTAAGTCTGTTATAACTATATGTTTAATATATATTAATAAAATATAATAATTATATATTAATAATATAATTAATATATAATTGATATATTACTATTATAATTATGTTATTATTATATATTAATAATATATTAATAATATATTAACTATATTTATGTTAACTTTATTTTAACTATATTTTTTAAAAATTAAAAATTCTGTAAAGAATATATTATAATATATCATATCAGGTCTATATTGATTCATCAACAATCACTTCACTGAAAGCTTATTAAGATAACATTATGCAAGATAAAATTTAGTAAAAATATATACTTGCAACTAATAAAATGCTTAACCCTAACTCTATATGAGCAAGTTTTAAAATATATCTTCTTGAAATTTTATATATTAATCTATTTGAAATTTTATATAAAAGTATTATAGATATATTTTAATAAAATAGTAAGTTTTTTTATAAACCAAAAAATAACAAATTATTATATTTAAAAGATTAACAATCTCTCTCTCCTGACCACCTGCGTTTAGGAGAGTAATTTAGGGAAGACAAAATTAATCTATTAAAGAGTTCGCTTTTCTTTAAAAACAGTACCAGAACAGGGGCAACTGCCCTTGTTCCCAAGAAATGCAAAACTTCTACTATTGAAGCCCGCAAACC